CGGAGGCGAGGCGTTGGGTGGGGCGGCCGTCGGGAGGGGCGATGTTGTTGAGGACCCAAAGGATTTGTTGGGCTAAAGTGGTGTCGTTTCGGTCGATGGCGGTGGCGCAGTGGACGAGGAGTTGCTCCATGCAGTTATTGGGGATTGAGGGTTTCGGGGTGGGAAGGCCGGGCCAGGGACGGGCCCGGCCAAAGAACGTGGGGAGGGGGATTGGGATGAAGGAAGGATTGTTTTCGGTGAACTGCATCTTTGTGCTCTGTTCTTTTTCTTGGTTCTTATTACAAGTTGTTGGGAGTGGTGAGAAGTAGAAGGAGAAGGGATGAGTGAGTGAAAAGGGGGAACAGAATGGAATAAGTCAGAAGGTGGGCTGTGGGGATGAGGTGGGAAAAAGGGACACAAGGGAAGAAAGGGACTAGACTAAAAGTGGTACCTCTGGGGAAACGATCCTCACTAACTCAGCTCACTGGCTTGTTAGTGAGAGAAACTTGTGAAATTCCATCTGCAAAATGAGGCGAGGTCATGAAACGGAAATAGACTCATCATCTTTTCTTTTCTAATCAAAGGGCCAGCAACTGTATTATTCCTAATTCTCTTTCCGTGCACGGATGATGAAAAGGGACATGTGAGAGCCAACATCTGTGATTCCCCACAACATCTTTGGCTTACACTGAATTTACTGCTCTTCTTAATTCCTTGTACCTTTTTTTTTTTCCCCTTTTCTTCCAGCACAATATGCATAAAAGCAGCTGCAAGTTATTCACTTTTCATGAAAGAAAATCCAAGGAAGATTAGAACTTTGCTTTTAAAGTTACTAGGGCTGCAGGGAGAGAGAGAGAAAGAAATGAACAATATCAAGAAAGAGGAAGCAGATATATATATATATATAGAGAGAGAGAAAGAGAGTGAGGGAAGGGTGGGTGTGTACTGTATATAGTATAGTGGCATGTGAGGTGGCTGGACAGGCAAATTTGTCAATTTGTGGGAGTTGTATTTTGTCATATATTTGTTAAATAAAAGAGGAAAATCTAATGTATAGAAGCAGTTTTCGTTTGGCTTACTGATCATGGGCCACGGGCCCATACCTATATATCATCATGCACAAATCATTCTACTGATGATTATATATTTTCTTACAGACGATTTTTGGCTTGCTGTATCTTTGCTAATCAGACTCAATTTTGTGACTGTTTTGACCAGTTTCAAACTAATTGTTCTTGGTAGGTTATGTGTTCTGTTTTGTTGGGTGGGCTCAAAAACCGGTCGGACGTTTATGATGCGTCATTAGCATTGTTATATTTGAGTCGCGGGAGTGTATTTTCTTTTTCCTTAATTTTTCAATTCTTTTTTATCCTGGCATCTACTACTACTATTATTATTATTATTATTATTATTATTATTATTATGTAATGCACGGACTGTATTTATTTGAAGGAATATTATAAATTGAAGTGTATTAATAAATAAAATAATAATAATTCGTAAGAAAATTGTCAAATAATAAAATGTTTCTCATAAAAATAATATATTATTAAAAACCTCTTTGCACATTAAATTATTTATTTCGTTAGAATTTTTATTGAAATAGATTACCGTAGAATTTTTCGTTGGAATATAACAATTTTTTTGTAGAGAAGGAATAGGGAATAATATTTCATATTTTTCTAGCAGTTTTGCATTGTATGTTTTTGTGCAAGTATCTACGATTCACATACTCAGGTAATTGAAAGGGAGTAGAGAAAATTAAACCCACGCAAATATCCGAAAATGAATTACTAAAAGCTTATCCACTAGCAATCTTGTTATCCACCAAAATAAGGTATAAACTGAATTCAAAATAAGGTATAAGTCTCAAAGTTGACCCGAATTATGACTCCAATTTTCTTTAACAACGTATTAGTTACAAAACGTGATAATATATATAAGATGAGATGCCCTAAAAATGTTATCATATTACGGGAAATTCAAACAATAAGATATTTAAGCACAAATTCAAATGAATATTCATATGTTAATTTTTGTTGGAAAGTTCCAATGCAGATCAACATTGAAAAATTCAGTTGAAATCCCTATATTAATATTGCTCTTGTGGAAAACTTCAACAGAAATCAACCTTGAAATTTTAGCTTGGAATTAATTCCTCATTAGAATTTTCAACGCAAATTTTCCAACGGTTTATGTTTATGTTATAAGAATTTCTAATTTAATATAAAATTCTGTTGGATAATTTCAATTGTTGGAAAAACTTGGAAAAAAATCAATGAAAATTTTAAAGGAAAACTAATTACAACATATTTTATTGGATTTTTTTTTTTTTGTGTTCAATGTAACTTAAAATGTTAAAATACTCGTTGAAGTCATCATTGGATTAGCATTGAAATGTATCTTTTAAATTCTTTAATTATTTTGGTAAGGTGATTCAACAACCAATTTTCAATGTGTTTGTATGTTCGTATTTGAGATTGCATCCTACTATTGTTTATTGTACATCTGCGTGAGTAGGATGACAGTCATCTAATTAATAGACTTTTGGTTTTTGTGAGGGTGAATGCCAATTTTGCTATACATAGGCTGCCACAATATATAAAATCATTTGTAATTGCTTAAATTCATAATCAATTTCTTATTCTTCATCTGCCTACTTAATATTTAATCGTTGTTATTTTGATATTTAATTAATTCAATTATAATATATGTGTAATATGACATTAATTTTGCCACTATATATAGCTACATCGTACACTTACGGATAATAAAAATAAATAATTATTTGAATTCCAACCTAATATTTATTTGTTCATGTTGAATGTTCAGCGGTAGTAGTTGAATCAGTTGATAGAGGTGTAGTTTACACTTAATATATCTAATAATTTGTGATGTACCAACTTGATCAACATTAAAATAGAAAATGCATTACTCTTGCAACTCCCTTATCCCACAAAGTTTTGTTAGCAACCTAACTGTACACATGTATGAAAGGACGTTGAAAACAACACCACCTAAAAGAATCCAAGTTTATCCACCTTTTAAAATAAACAGTATGTAATGAAAAAGCCCAATCCTTAAATTTCAAATTTTCCAAATAACACAAAACCAATTCAATTCCCATTTGACATCATTTTCTAAATCATTTCGGACCTGGGACTTATGAATCAACCACAAATCTATCAATTTTAACTGCTATAATAATAATAATAATAATAATAATAATAATAATAATAATAATAATAATAATACCCCACCACCATACAAAAAAAGCATAATATGAGAAACGATGAAAAAAGAATTGAACAAAAAATTANAAAGTAAAAGAAAGCTTGAAGCAAATTTTCTGCGCGATCTCCGGATGATAAGAAATCTACTGAAAGCCTGGAATGAAGGGACACGCAAAAAGAATGGCGACGGGTGGGGTTTGGTGGGAGAGGAAATGGAAATGATGGATTGTGAGATAAAGCAGCGAACAGAGGCAAAGAAATGTTCACAAAAATGACCAATTTATGCCCAAAAAGAAGTCTTTGGTTAGGTCAAATAAGGGGCAATTAAGTAATTATTCGAAAAAATGACATGTGTCGCCTAAACAAAACGCCACTTGTCGCCATTTAAAGGCCATACACATTTTCATATATAGATAAGAGAGATATATATAGGATTTGGTTCAAATGAGAACTAAGTCCTAGCGTGAGAACCGTGAGAACCGCTATTTTTAATTGTATGTAGTGCTATGATTGATTGTATTTTAGTGCTATTTATAATCAGGATGTATTTTATTAAAAATAGCAAGACAATTTATGTTAGCATTTGTAAAAATGATAGCACCATGTGAGACTAAAAATAACATTATACACAATTAAAAATAACACGAAATATGGTTCTCACGGTTCTCACACCAGGATTGGTTCCAATGAGGACACATTCTTAAAATAAGGACATGAGACTCAATCCTAGCCACTAAAAAGGGTATCAAGATATGTGGCCAAGATTTAACTTTTTAATTAAATAATAATTTTTTATTTTAATTATTTTAGTTATTTTAATATTATTTTGACCATTGACCGTTGACTCCGGTGTTGACTTCCGATGAAAATCGTTGACTTTCGGCGTTGACCCGTTGACCATAATATGTATTGTGTGAAGTAAATATAGTGAGGTAAAGTTAGTGTAAATATGTTGCAAAGTTATTGAAACAGGGTTAATTTCAAAGTTAGTTCTATCTTGTTGAATGGTTAGTTGTTTTATTTGCAATGATTAGTTGTATTCAGTTTGCAAGGTTAGTTGTTTGTAGTTGCAAGGTTAGTTGTCTTTAGTTGCAAGGTTAGTTGTCTTTGGTTGCAAGGTTAGTTGTCTTTGGTTGCAATGTTAGTTATCTGTAGTTGCAAGGTTAGTTCTGTCTAGTTGCAATGTTAGTTTTCTCTAGTTGCAAGGGTAGTTGTCTGTAGTTGTAAAATTAGTTCTATCTTGTTGCAGGGTTAGTTGTTTTTATTTGCAGTGTTTAGTTGTATTCAGTTTGCAAGGTTAGTTGTTTGTAGTTGCAAGGTTAGTTGTCTTTAGTTGCAAGGTTAGTTCTGTCTAGTTGCAATGTTAGTTTTCTCTAGTTGCAAGGTTAGTTGTCTGTAGTTGCAAGGTTAGTTGTCTATAGTTGCAAGGAGCTATCCTCATTTTAAGAGTTGTCCTCATTTGATCCGCTCCCTATATATATATGTGGTCGCGCTCCGGTGAGAATAGTTCTCAGTGAAATAAATAAGAATAAATCATAGTCATTCGATCGTATGATCTAATGGCTAAAAAAAGACAAAATATTACATTCATTAAGGGTATTTTAGACATTACCAATACCATCCACTTATCCAACTCATTAGTGGGCCCATGACACATCATCACCACACGCATAAAACACACGCCACGCACACATAAAACACACGCCACACAACACACAACACACGCACACACACTTCAGCAGACACGTACACACAATTTATATACACGACACACAAACAGTACACACACAGTATATACACGACACACACACACACTACACACATACACACACATATTACCAGTCATCGTCGGCCGCCGCCCTGCCCAGCCATCGCCGCCGCAGCACGCCACAGCCGGTCGCTGGAGCCAACTGTAACGGCGGTCGCCGGATCCTGTAACGCCACCGTGGAAGCACGCTGAAACGACGCCACCGGAGCACGCTGAAATGCCGCCGCCAGAGCCCGCTGTTAGACACGCACGAACAGGACGACCGCGATACCACCATCCCACAGGTCGACCTCCATCGCCGTCGAGTTCAATCTGTCTGTCGCCGTTCTGCTCGACGCCGCCGACTGTCACTCCAAACGCCGCCGTCTGGTCCGGCGCCGGAGCTCTAGCCGTCGTCGTCCTCCCTCCGTCGGGAACTGACCGTGACGTCTCTGTCACTTTCTCCGCCGCAGAGCTTCGCCGTCTGCAAGTGTAGAGGGTGAAGACGCCTCCGGCCTGCCACCTTCACCATCATGGTCGTCATTCCTTCCCGTCGCGATCGTCGTTCGTCCGTCGTCCACCATCGGAGAAGAGGTCACCGGCGGCAAGTACAGGGGGATAAGGTGACGGGGAGAACATGATTTGAGATTGAAATTGGGGGTTGATTTTGAGAATTTGATATCTTATAGGGGCTGGATTGTAATTTTCATAAATTTCAATATATTATAATTTAGTTTATGGGTTGAATTTGTAGTTTTCATAAATTTGTAAATCTAATATTGTAAATTTAATAAATTTATTTATATTTCAATTTAACATTTGTGTCAAATTTGTAATTTACAAAAAGTATATAAAAGTATACTATTTTTATATATCTTTTAAAAATATAAAATAATAAAAAAATATTAAATACAAATAAGATAAAATATTAATATATTATTGAACATGTTGCACATTATTGACTGACGGGTTGCACTTTTGTGTTAGCGAAATTGCACCTTAGCATAACAAATGCACGGTCATGTTAATTAGATTAATAATATAAAATACTAAATACAAAAATTATAAACACTAAATATATTGTTATTACATAAATAATTTGATAAGTGCACAGTAATTTTAATTAAAATACACATTATTAAAAAAAGATTAAAATTGAAATGCACGTTAATGTTCGGTTTCAATTTGGTTGTGACGATGGCAAAAAAGGTTATAAATATAAGTTTTGTTTTTAAAAATAATATTTTAAGTGTCTTTTAGAATATTGGATTTCAAAATGGCATTATAAAATAAACAAGTTTTTAACCCGTGCATTTGTACGGAAAGCTATATAATAGAACAAAATATAACAAAAAGATATAAGCAATAGTAAAAATCATAATATAATCATTGGAAAAATGTCCTAAGAAAGAATAACTAAATATTGTTAAACAATTCTTTATATACAACGTTTGTGGTTTTTCTATCAATAGAATCTCCATCACTACAAATCACTAAATTCAAATTAAGACATATAATGGTTTTATTTTTTAAAATAATTATTGTATTTTGTACTATAGATCATATAGGAAATTAAAAAAAATACAAAAAAAATACCAGCAAAATATTACAAAATAAATAATTGTATTTGGTTGATAAATAATGATATGTGCCAAATATTTAAGACATTTGAACAAAATGGCAAGTTTTGGGCAATAAAGAAATATATTGATTGAATGATAAAAAAAACCTAAATTAGAAGTCCACTTAATTTTTTAGGGTAGCTAAAATCAAATTGTGAACAGGTAAACTGGCTGCCATACGGCCTCATGTTCGCTAATTATTTTCGCTATCCGCAAGTGTACGGCGTAGCTATAGGTAGTGGCGAGCAAGGTCGTATTCCACAGAGATTGTAGTTAAATTAATTAAGTACTAAAATAGCGACGATTAAATATTATCTAGACTAATGAATTGGATGATGATTATTAACTAAGAAATTAAACTAAGAACTAATCTAACTAAAAATAAAAATAAAAATAAACAAAGAAACAAAAGGTAGATTCTAGGCTAAGCGTTCCTCGGATTTAATTCATGAAACGTTTATATTCAAACAAACCTTATTTAATTTTACCAATCGTAGAGATAATCGCTAAATTGATTTCAAACATTTCTCTCGAACAAGTCAAATCGTAGATATTAATTGTTATCTATCTCCTCTCGGTCTCAAGATGAACACCTAACTCCCATAAGTTCCTAGGATTTTCGTTCTCTCGCAATGTCCTATCAACCTCTCGGTCTGTTTATTCTCTTACGTTATAAATCTCCCAATTCTAGCAATCAATTATCTCCTCTCGGTCTCAAATCGATTACAAATATGCATTCATAGTGGCCATCTACTCACACAATAAAAATAAGCACAAGAAATTCATAAACGAAAGATAAACCGGAATGAAAGAAATAAAAACTAAATCATAAATTAATCCGAGTACTAACCAATCCTAGAATCTAAAAGGTTTAGCTACTAAACATATTCTCAAAACTCAAAATAAATAAATCCATGAGTTCAATGAAGAAGGAAAAGAGAAAAGAAAGAAGAACTATTGTCGCCGTTAGTTCCCGAATCTTCAATCTTGACTTCCTCGAATCCCTCGTGTGTTTCGTGCTTTCTCTAGGCCTCCAATGGTGTCAAAAGTCCCAAAAACGAGTTCCTCAGGTCTGTTTTATACTGTAGGGCTATTCTGGGTCGAAAAAGGGAAGAAATCGCACAAGAATCCTATTCCCCGCAGGTCTAGTCTGCGCGTCACACGAGTCGTGTCACATGCCACACGAGTCGTGTGACTTTTCTCAACGTTTTGGCAAACTTCCAGACTCACACACGACTGGTCACACGAGTCGTGTGAGGCCACACGACCCGTGTCTCAACCCACACGACCCGTGTGAAAAAGCCGTAGCTGCGTTTCTTATTTTCTCAACCCACACGACCCGTGTCACTGCCCACACGAGTCGTGTGACCTCTTCTGCACCCGTTTTCGCCGTTTTTCGTCCCGATTCCATTTCCAACGCATTTCCGGGCATATTTCCTGCAAAAACAACGACAAAAACACCTCTATCATAGTTTAATAAATAAAACGAAATGGTGCACAATCACACGATAACCAGGGCCAAATATCACAATATATCACTCATAATGCATGAAAATATGATGAATATCACCTCAACCCACATTTGCTGGAGCCTAGGACCCTTTATTACGGATGCCTTAGGTACCGGGATATTGTGGAGCCGTACATGCCTGTGCGGTTCTTGCGTCAGTTGGGCTACGTCCAGACGATCCCTCCCCGCATGGATCGTCCGATCACTGTATTTCGTGGTTGGAATGCTAGGATGTACAGGGTTGAGCATGCAGTGGACGCTGCAGTAGATCACTGGGATCAGTTCCTGCTACTGCATTCTGTACGCTTGTCTGATTTTACTCCCACCACCGTAGATGATCTTGGGGCGGCCCATGAGGACTAGCAGCAATGGTATGAGCGTTATTCTCACCCTAGACTCTTGTCCGACAGTCAGGCGGACAATGAGGTTGTCCCTGCGCGCTCCAACATCGATTACGTAAGTCGTTTACTAAATTTTAGTTAGTATTCGTTCATTGCAATTTTTTTTTATATTTTAATTATGTGTATATATTTTCCTTGTGCTTTGTGTAGTGGGTTGGACAGTCCATGTCCCTTTCATCAGATATGCATCAAGAGATCGCGACACTTGCTCCTGATAGGGCGGCAATTTATGCAGAAAAATTGGCTCAGTTGAAGTTGAATTTCGACAGAGCGCAGTAGTGATGTAATAAATACTTATTTTTTTTATATATTTTGTTTTGGATGTTGTCATAAACCACCCGAATTGTTTTTTTTTTTTTTTTATTTGTGGTTAGTTAATTTTATTTTCATCTAAACAAAAAATTCTCCTATTATATCACGTGAAACGGTAGGCACTGGGAGATATCACAATCTATCACTCGTAACCCATGAAAATAAAATTTAAAAAAAAAACCGCAGATATAAGGCGAATATCACAATATATCAAATTCCAGCTGCAGTACGAATATCATTCCACAACTGGAACCTGCTCTGGTACTGATACGGCCAATCTTCAACCGAAACATCTCGGTATTTCTCCCAAAAATAACACAAAGGCGGTAATGGAGAATCAGAACACAGATTGACACGAATGAAGTGCGCGTAGGAACCAAGATGACCTATGACGATCTCACAGTCAGGTCGTGTAGCCGTGGATGGTGCGTGGATCGGGAATACCGTCATGCTGGCCATGCCCATATTGTTATCGTTGGGACCATAGCTTAACAACACGACAACTGCATTAAACAGTGTAACAATAGCAAAGAGGTCGCCCGTAGCATTCATCCAATGCTCCTCGCCACAAGGACCCCCGTCCCATCTTATACGATCGATTGCGACGTCGACCCCATCCCAATAAAATGGAGCGTACAAATGAATGTTGGCTGCAATCTCATTTGCAATATTTCTTCTTGCCACATCCCACTTCTGTTGATCCCTATAAATGTAACTTGCAACCACCCGAAATCCGCAGTTCCCGTCCGGCGTCACATCCAGATAACTCTGTACGTAGCTGTGAACTACGTAGGGAATCCTACCACGATGTTGGTACTGAAAAAAATCCGTCTCGAAAGTATCTTTATTATCAGAATAATTTCACGTCATAATTTAGGTAATTGAATTTACAAACATAATTAGTCATCGTTCAGATAAAAAAAAAAATTAAATTACCTGTCGGATCTTGAGACGATGAGCTTGTCGGGGCACACGAAGAAGTGCTTGTACGACCCACCGGACGACCTCTTTCCCTGTAGTCCCACATCGACGGAGCACACGAAGAAGTGCTCTTACGCCCCGGCCGACGACCTGTTTCCGTGTACCCCGATTGCGATGAAGCACATGAAGAAGTACTTTTACGCCCCGCCGTACGACCTCTTTCACTGTACTCCCATCTCGATAGATTGCGTTTTGTTGAATTTTTCTTCTTGGGCCGACCTCTCGGATTTTCCTTCACTGCAGGTTCTGTGTATCCCTGTTGATCAGGGTGAAGTTGAGAGTCGATGAGATGGTTTAGGTATCGTACAATCGCAAGGTCGGCCGCTTCAATCTCCTCGGCAAGCCACCGAAAATAATCATGATCTGTCCATCCACTCGCCGATGCACTCTGCTGACCTGTCCGTACCGAAAATTTATAAAATTATACAATATGCTATCAAAATTTCTATGAATGAAACAATACGTGGAGTTGAAAAAAAAAAATTAAACAAAATTTAAGAGAAATAAAATGTTGAGCATGCTGTTCTATAGATTTATTAATCTCACAATTATACCTGGTTGCGTCACCTCTAGTGAGCTCCAGAAGTTGTGGATGTCGTCGGTCGTAATATTTCTACGTACAGTGTGTGCCTCCCTTAGCTCACAGGCATAAGGAAGTCCATGAGTGTATTTTAGTGCACAATCGCAGCGCTCCGAAACATCTTTGCCGAAGTCTCGCATGTTCTGAAGCTCATCATTCAATATATCCATACAGTAATGCGAAACCCGCAGTGTCAACTGCTAGAAAGGGAATCCCCTGTAACCCGTACTCATCCTAAGTCTCGAAGACTCCAGCGTCTCCCTGGTAATACATTACATAACATTCGACCCAATTAAAATTTATAATTAATGCATTAATAACACAGTCTTACTGTATAAATTAAATAATATACCTGACTTTAGTCAGTTGAGAATCAATCTCCTTGTCAATCTTCTCCCAAACCGTGTCGAGCGAACCGGTCGACGTGTTAAGCCACTGCTTCAACGTAGCGTGGGGAACTCTCCACCCTACACGACGTTGTGTTGCCAAAATGTAAGACAGTATCCGTCCACACTTTGAAAAACTTCTCCTTGTGCACTAGCCATGTCTGATCCACATATTTCAGCACACGAGGAAACGCCGCGTATGTAACAGCCAAATCAGTTACGGCAGTTTTGTATTTGTCCCACGTGTTCGCCTCGACAACCTTATTCCACTTGCCGTGCGTGAACTTCTGCTCGAAGATCTTATTTTTATTTATGCTTGTCGACGTTAATCGATAGACCTTGTCTTCCACATCCTTGTTGATGTGCCACGTGCAGAGTAAGTGGGGCGTCGTCGGAAAATTCCTCTGAATAGGAGTAATCAACCCCAACTCCCTGTCACTGACAATGACTGTAGGATGTACTTCAGGCCCTATCAAAAGTCTCAACCGCTGTAGGACCCAGTCATAGTTGTACTCGGTCTCGTCCTTGATAATTGCATAAGCAATTAAGAAATTCTTGTTGCACGGCGTCATTCCAACCATATCAACCAACGACATGTGGTACCTGTGCAAATGAAAGCAGAAAGAAGAAAAAACATAGAATCAAAAAACTTACTCAAACATACTATTTTAATATTCACATTATATTACTATTTATAACATAATGTAACATACCTGTTGGTTTTGTACGTGGAATCTATACTGACATACCAGTAATATGTCCGGAATAGACTGGCTGCTCCTGGATGCGACATGAACACACGTGTCAACTCCTGTGTGTCCGGGTCAACATCTGTGTAAACTATGTAGTTGCTGCCCCTAGCCAAATGCAGAAGCTGGCCAACAATATCTCTACCCTCCAGACAGTCTTTTCGCAATTGACCTCTATAGTTATACACTTGTCGGCAAGTAGCGTTGTCCACAGAGTTTTTCTCCTGAATTGCAGCCAAAATTACTCTCGGTCTTGCCTGAGCATCAGTCATATCACGGACAATCTCTTTGGATGAATCGCTGAGTCGACTCATCTGTCGATGACCCTCGGGATGCAAGGCCAAAGCATGATTATGAAATCCCTTCTCGTCTTCTGAAGGAAGCCAGATACTCCATTTTTTGGAATTCGCTTCAAATTTGACTTTTATCATAAAAGGACAGCCAGTAAATTTAGTCTTCGAACGTCTCAAAACAGCATTCACAAAATTTCCTAGTTTTCCTGCCTTGCCTCTGTAACGTTCCCCTTGATGACACCTCAACGTCCGAACCATTCCATCTTTTTCGTGTCTCGAGATGACCAATTCGAAATTCCATAGCATTGCAATGTCTTTTGCCCATTCAATAGCTTCCTCATGACTGTCAAATAGCTCGTCTGTAGTAAAACATGATCGGTAATCTTCGTCGTCTCCTCCAAAATCTTCGAGTGGCACCTGCAATATGTTACGATGTATGTTAATAATTTTACAAAATAATAAATTATAACTTCTCTCAAAATAATAATAGTAATTTGTAATTTATTATTTAATCAAATCTAACTTCTAATGTAATATCAATAAATTTTACGTTATAAGATAATACATTCATATATATTAATAATTTTTACTAATATAATTTTTTTTCTATTACATAATTTTATACTATTAATTTAATACTAAATACTATTATTATATTTTTATAAATACTTTCTATTAGTATATACTAAAAAAAGTTATTATATTACTAATAGAATTTTATATTAGTAATAGAATTTTTAATAATCCGTTTAGTGTGGGGAGATAATTGGAGAAATGAGACATTTTTTGTTAAAAAGACGAAATATCCCCAATCCTCTCACGACGGAAACCTAGCTTCTCAGCCCTCAAATTTCCGGCACATCTGCCTTCCTCGGCGTCGGTACTGCTCGGCTAAGGGTCGTCCTCACCTGTTCGCGGCCCCCTAGCGAGGAGCACCCCTATTCCAACCACAGATGGTCCATTGAAGGGGAAACAGGTTCGCGGTCGTCTATGGCGCTCCGGACGGTGGCGGTACACCTCGCGATTGAAGCACGGCCGGCGATTGGAATCTTCTTTACAGTCACCGGAGGAGTTGAGATTTGCGATGGTAAGACCCGTCCTTTTGTTCCCTCCGTCTATGCAGGTCAGATTTCGTCTGTGCCGGCGGTGCCTCACCTCTTCTTGTGGGGCCGGGCCGATTGTCATTGGATGTCTGTGGTGGTGATGGGTGGAGTGCGAATCGTNGAACTAAAAATTTAATTTTTTATTATTTTTTATTAGTAAGGGCAAAAGAGTGATAGTAGGGTGCGGTGATTAGTAACACTCAATGTAATATGTTGTCAGGATTTAAATATATACGTTTTCGTGTGGGTCATAGCCTAGGAAAAACTGAAGGTGACCACGTGTAAGAAATGTATCCTCTGTAACTTCCTTTTATTAAGATGTAGAGGGATAGTTTTAAATTTTGTTTCGCAGAATTACATTTTTTAGGTCAAACGTTTGGTTGGATGTAAGTCTCTTAAAAAAATTCAATATTCATCTATTTCTACTTTGTTTTTTCGCGTCAGTCTTATCAATACAATATACATAAAAAATAATTTTTACCATACATTTTTCAATACATTCACTATTCATTCACCCACATTTCTAACTACCAATCATATACGTTCTTTACTTTATTATTTTTCTAAGATGACTTTATTCATTACATTTTAACTCATATTCATTGATAATATTTAAAATATTTTATTTTTCCACCCAAATATATTCTTCACCCTTGAACTTATTTTTGTCTCCCATATAGTTTAGAAATCTGTCCCAAATACTTTTTACAAAATATCTATCGGACTTTTAATAACATGCCAATCTTTAACTATAATAGTCATCCAATGTTATTTTGTTGGAATATCACTTGTGATTGTCCCACATTGATTCTATAGGGAAAATGAGTTTAGTATATAAGCCTAGTGGGTAACTCCTTCCATCACCAATTGATTTTTTTATGGAACCACACTAAGGTGCACCTAGACTCACCCTCTTATGGTGCGTTTCACCTGGTGGGGCCACAGCCTCTTTCCCCGATTCTAATATGGTATCAGAGCGGGTCTGTCCTAGGACCTGCAATGACTCTCTCTACCCGGCTGCTCTGTGGGCTTGGGCTTACGAAGGACGCACAAGTGATGGGGCGTATTGGAATATCAGTTGTGAGTTATCTTACATTGATTTTATAGGGAAAATAAGTCTAGTATATAAGTCTAGTGGGCTACTTCTACCATTAGTAATTGATTTTGGAATGGAACCTCACTAGAGTGCACCTAGGCTCACCATCTTAGGGGGGCTTGAGCTTACGAATGACTCACAAGTGAGTGGGCGTGTTGTAATATCATTTGTAAGTTGTCTCACATTGATTTTATTATAAGGATAATAAGTCTAGTATATAAGCCTAGTGGGCTACTCCTACTATTAGTAATTGATTTTGGTATGGAACCTCACTAAGATGCACTTAGGCTCACCGTCTTATGGTGCACTTCACTTGATGTGACTGCACCCTCTTCCCTAGTTCTAATATATTTTAAATAAATATAACAATATAATTTTTTAGCCTTTTTTTTTTAATTTCGCATAAAACTTCTATTTTTCTACTAAAAAATAAGTATGAATTTTGTCAAACATGACAGTGTATTATTGGGTTTTTAGTACTAATGGAAATTGATTATATAAGATAAGATACACTGGGGTAAATGAACCTCTATAGACACGACTCAACAATGCAGATACTGAAATTTAACGACAAATCTCATGTAAATAAATATTTCACAATGCACTAGATTCTTACTACCACCTCTCTAATACACAGAATACACATTCGCCAATTCATTCATCATATTATCATCAAAATCAACTCAGCCAGTGGTTCACTAAGTACATCATCCCTCAAAAACATAAAGTGGTCATATTGTCTTAAACAGAGTGTTGTTAAATATGTAATATTGATATTGTACTATAAGTTAGGTTTATGCTAAGGCTCATATGTGTATCTATATATATGTGTACTCCTCTTTGCGAATAATAGAATATATATTTTTCCTACATTCTCATATGGTATCAGACTAGGGTTATATATATTCACTTGTGGGTTTTCGTTTTTCCGTTCATCTCCGGCCATCGTTGACTCTCACCGCCCCGACCATCTTCTCCGGCATCCACCGGCGACCAATCGCCGAAAATTTCAGGCCGATCGGCGGCGCGTGGGACCCACACGCGCCGATTCTTTGCGACGGTGCCGGCAGCTCTCGCCGGCGCGTGAGGTCCACTCCGGCGTCCGATTTCTCCCGTTTTTCAGGCGTTGACTCGTCTCGTCGTCGGCTACGTCCTGGTGTGGTCGGTTTTGGTTTTCGTGAACTTTTTTATTTCCTCTATTTTTGTGCTATTTTGACGGTTTCGTGATCCGATTTCTGCCTATATTTTCATCAGTTTCGTGTTATTGTGTTGATCTGCCTTTTGGATATGGATCGTATGGATTTGCATTCTCCTATTAGTGTTGTCTTATCAGGAGACAATTATAGTCTTTGGGCACAGTCTATGAAGAGTTTTTTAATTGGGAGAAAATTGTGGCGGATTGTGACTGGTGATGTGTTGCCACTTGTACATCCGTCTGTTTCTGGGGATGCCAACCCCACACCACAGGTTCTTACAGCTTACGTCGATAAGTTGGAGGATTGGGATAGTAAGAACCATCAGATTCTTACTTGGTTACGTAATA